CCCCCCCCCCCTTTTCTTGAAGAGGTGGAAAAAGCAAGGTGTGCACATGATGCATAACAGAAGGATGCTCTACCTGTGTCATATTATGAATGGCATAGCTGCTAGCATGCCTCCCAAATCCTACGTGGAAAGTTTCTTACCTCCCAGGGACTCCATATTATTTTTGAGTGCCCTCATGGTGAACTCGGTGTAGCTGCTGATGAGACCCTATAAAGAATGATGTCCACATACATGCACAGACACCACAGTCATCAGTTTTCCACATGCACACAGCACTGGGAATAGAACTTAAGACCTTCGCCTCCGCAAACACAGCTGCTCATCTGGCTGTGGGCTTTGTAGCCAGCAGAGGGAACTGATAAACACTCTCAGAGGGCTGCTTTATATTTTTTTTTTCTAACCAAGAGAGGGCACTGATTTTCATTCCCTTCTGAAAAGGGTCCATTACATGTCACCCCCTCAACAGTTTCACCTGCCATTCAAGAAGCAACAGACTTACATTCATCTTGCCTTTGCTACAAAATATGGACTCGCATGAAGATTTAATCATCAAAAGATGTCCCTAGACTGCATAGTGGTATTAATCCCCTGCAGTGCAATTATGAGACATTAAATTCATTACACATCAAGACAATTACAGAAACACATCCAACATTTCAGGAGTACAGGGAGACCAAGCACAATTGTTTACTGATGTGTACAGAGAATAGGCACAGTTATTGCACAAGACCCACAAAAGGCTTCAGAAGCAGGACTCATTATTATCTTTTTAAACACACAGAGCTTCACAACTTTTGCTGAAGGAGAATTCTGCTAGCACAAAGAATAGATCTCACTTTCTGGAGGGAAAGCCACAAAAAGGCAACATCACTTAAAGAAAACTCTAGAAAGTGTAAGTGGCAAAAGGAAGAAACTTCTGCACAGTTAAATACAGATATTCCATGTTCTTAATCAGACAGAACAAGCCACCTCTAATGGTTTGGTCTTTCCTTGTTCCTCACTACAATAACTCCATTGAACCATTGCTCTTTTAGAAATATGACAGTAATGAAAATTAAAAATTATCTTCCTGTAGAAGGAACAAGCCCACAGGTTTTGGCCTTGGAAGGCCCAAAAAAGTAAGGGGAAACATAGGGATGTATTTAAGCTTCAGGGATAAAAGTTAATCTTTCCTCCCCTGAGATATATAGCAAGACATAGAATAAGTGCACAGGAAATTATGCCTTGTAGATGTGCTCATGGACATATGAAAATTGTCCTACCTTCTACGGCAGGTAGTGGTATGACTATTAATGGTTCTTTTTCAACTGTTATTCCTCCAGTGACCTTGCACACATTCACTATTTTATCTATGAGCAATGCGTCTGTAGTGGTAATTTTCAATTTAAAAGAATAAGAGACAAGGCCTTTATTGCTAGGGCAATTACTCTAGAAATTGAGCATCAGAGTGTTTGGTGGTTTGTTGTTTTTTTTTTTTGTTTGTTTTTGTTTTTTTGTGTTTTTTTTGTTTTGTTTTTGTTTTTGTTTTGTTTTGGTTTTTTTTTAACGAAGTATTGGTAAGGCCACAGGAGCAATTAGGAGTCTGTACCCTTATAAATTAGCTCTAGGGTTAAAAAATAAAGGGATAGGGCAAAGCTGTTAGTTTGAGGTTGGTTGTTTCAATGGGTATGAAATTATATCCTATATATTTATAGAGGTGGCACACGATAGTGAATGTAAAAAAGAAAGGAAAAATATATTCTATGTGCCATACAAGATCCATGTGAATAATTTTGCTTAAGTACCATGTGTTTTTCTTAGAGCTCATAGTTATGTTGGCCATAATTTCTGGTCCATGGCAGTGGATCTCTGCTTGCTGCCAAGAGTGGGTTGGTCTCCTTTAACCACAGAGGGTAAGAGGTGGTCATTTGGCTATTTATTTATTTATATACCCCCTCTAAGAATGATTTGCAAATCCTATTAAGGTGTTGGTAAAGGGTTTCACAGGAAGTTTAAAAGCGTTGGGAGTAAATGACCTCTCAAGATCTGTCACTGGAATTCTGCCTGCTGTTCAGCCCTAAAAAGTCATGCAAAGATGGATCAGCTGCAGAGGGGTGGACTTTATAAGGCTGGATACAGAATGAAGCATGGAATTAAAGTGATGAACTGGAACACAGAAGAGCTACCTCTGACTCTTACTATGAATTTTCACTGTGACCATAAGCAAAACAGTCCACAGATTTAGTATCAGCATGGCCAGAAGAAAACATATCTCTGCCTCACAGAGAGATGGGTGAAAATAAATTAATGAAGATCAGAATGTCTCAGAAGCAGTGGTAGTGGCAAGCCTATGTGTAGAGAAGCAGGCAGTAATATGTTTATCCTGTGTTTCTAGGTATCTAGTCTAATACTTTTTACAACTGTGGGAGTTATACTAGTGGCTTGAGTGGACATTAGTGCCCTACATGAATACTTAAAAAAACCTAAGCATGACCACTGGGAGAAATGGCTGTGCCTGCCTGCTTAACACTTAACTCATCTGTGGCTGAAAAGTTAATATAATCTCTTTACCTTTGTTTTGTTGTTTTAAAATGTTATAGTCATTACTGAAAAGATCTTAATTCCTTGTTCTCCCACTGATTCACTCTTTTTATTGTGGTTGTAGCATATTTTAAAGTGACAGTATTTTAATCTTAATATGAATATGCTTTGATCTTATAAAAAGGAGTTTCAGATCAGCATAGAAGTTAATAAATGCATTCCTAGACATCTGAGTTCTCTTGGAGACCTGCTGGGTGCAGTTTCCCTTCATCCCCTGCTGCAAAGTGATGCTAAGCTGAATTATCGACTCAGCCCAAGAAAGAAATTGCTCAGAGGAGATTCTGATCTAAATTAGACGCATTCCTTTGAATAGTTTTCTTAATATGTCCTGCAATCCATTTTTCAAATGCCAAAATATTACATTTCACAGCAGGCTTTAATAAAAGGTATTTTGCTATATACACATTTCCTGTGGCAAATGCATTTTTACTTTTTTTTTTTCCTTGAAAATTGTTCTTTTATAAATTTTGATTTATCTGATACAGTAAAATCCTGTGTGAACAATGAGGCTTTACTGCCAGATTGTAGACCTAAATTCTGTATCCATTACAGTTAAAATCACATATCTGTATTTCACAAGAGGGGTGTTTTTGGAGAGGTAAAGGTTTGCTGTAAAAATCAGATGTTAACTAAGGAATAAAATTTTGTAGCTCAGAGATAGAATGCCAGTTATGAAGAAAACTATTGGGCTCTATTCCTGTCTTCTATGGGCAATTTTATGGACTACCTGGATTCAAGAATAGTTTTACTGTAAGCCTGCTATAGAAAGCACTGTACAAGCACTGTACTTTGTTTTTGTTTGCTTTTGAGGGTTTTGTTTGGGCTTTTTTTTTTTTTTTTTTTAAGATACTTACGTAATCTTCCAGGCAAATAGCTGAAGGCAGTGTTTTACCTCATTAGTTACAATAGATAACATGTAAAATACAGAAAAAATCTTAGATACAGTATGCAGAAAAGGGCACTTTGAGCAGAGTTTTGTTGTTATACAGTGCTGTAACTTAAAATGTGGCAGCTAATGTGATTACAGCTATACATGGACATAATTCTTTTTTAGAAAAGACTTTTTACTCGGGGAAAAAACAAACAAGAGTCGATTTAGAAAGAGGATTATTTGGCTGTCAAGGAGAAAATACCACTTCTAACTGCAGAATGTATTTACATAGAGTACAAATAAACAATTTACAGACAGCATTCACTGCTTGCTTTTGGTAGTTCAGCCTTCCCTCCTTTCTGAGCCCTGGCAGAGGCATTCTAGGATTAGGATTTCTATGATGGAATTTCTTTAAACAGGTGACTGTGTGTTAAGAGTGCACTACTCACACAACATGAGAAACTGGTACTAGTCACTCACAGATTCACCTCTGGGAGGATGGATAGATGAATAGAGAGGGGAGTGCAAATGTAGTTTTGAAACCACTTTTGAATGTTTCAACTGTTCAGTAGCTGTCTCTGAGGCACTTAACTGTTCCTTCCTCTAGCATTAGAAATGTCTGTGTAGGTAAACAGTAGATAAAATATAATTCAAACAGATCTAGAAATTTCATAGAGACACAAGGTCTGTTGTTTCAAGAAACAGAATTTTGCTTGTGAAATGTGTACTTTAAGCATATTTGGTACCAGATAGTGAATTTCATCAAGCTTACTACTGTGCTTCTGTGAGAGCTTAAGTCACTTTTTTTTTTTTTTTTTAAAGGCAGTGAAACCTGTGAAGATGCACTTCAGTCCCAAGATTGGCTCAATCTGGCTAGTAAATAATAATAGTAATGAAAAACAATTCATTGCTTAAAATAGCACTCAGCATTTTTTTTTTTCTCAAACAGAATTTAAGGAAGCTTTGGAGTGTAGATTTTTTGATAACTTTGACTGGGCTGAGAAGGAGACTACTAAGAGGGATAATAAATTATTAGAATTGCTCTGGGTATTCTAATCTCTTCAAAATTAATCAGAAAGTGAGAGAAGACATTTTCCCAGCCACACAGTGTTTCCCAGCAAGATCTGTTTTTATTTCATTGCTAAAACAACAGACTGTTACTAACTTAAATGTCAGATGACACTACATCTGAAATAAAAAAAAAAAAAAAGGGGGGGGGGGGGGAATAGCCAGCACCACCCAGCAAGGCAGTGCTAGATTTCACATTAAGACTTCCTCACAATAGCTGGTTAGAACAGAAACCTGAAGTAGCAGTAATCTTACCTTGAGTATACAAGATCCAAGGAGAGAAGATCACTGGCTCAAAACAGAGGAGGACTGAGAAAGTGCTCTGATCTGCTGCTGGTAGCATGCACTTGGCTTTTATGTGCAGGTGGGAGGAGCTGCTCCCTACGGTAGGTGGGCAGTGAGGATAGCAGGCAAACAGCTTTCAGAAGGCATTGTAAGAGTGGGTTTCTGCTCTTTGGGGACAGAGAGGGAGAAAAAGCAAGCTGGATGGCATTTACTGGAGAAATAGTGTTGGATTTATTTGATGTTTTTCTTTAAATGTTTAGTTAACTTAAGATTTTCTACTGTATCTGTTTATCTGAATCTCTGAACTTTTCCAGTTACAGTGCTACTAGGTCTCGCTTTGTCTTTGGGAAGGATTTTTACAGCAGTGAGATAATAATGCAAAGTAGTTATCAGAAAGAAAGGGAAACTCCAGCCTAAGAAGGGACAGCTCTGAAGAAGCAGCCCCTTGATCCTTGAAGTTGTCTGTTTACTCAGGGATTGAACTTCCTTTATATTCCAAATATAAATTCAGCTCCAGAATCCTCCTAAGTTTCTGTTGTGCTGAGCTACCCAGCTTTTCCTTGACACAGCTGTGACATGTTCCATCTACACACTGACTTTCTAGCAGTTTAGTTTAGAGCAGTTTTATTGTTCCCTGTGTCTGAGTTCTAAACAATTTTCCCAACTGGTATTCTCAAAAGGCAAATGTAGCCAAAAGACAAACCAGTAGGAATACGCATTCCTGGTGGTTTCTCTGTAAAATTATTCATTGTTCATTTTAACTCATTCATTACTTTCAGGGCACAGAAGAGTGGATGTCCCAGTGTCCAGACACTGCTCCTGCAGGTGAAACAGACTGTTGTACCCATCTGGAATGCACTAATTCTGTATTTGCACGTGTCCCTGCATGAGGCATCTGGGCCTGTATTATTTACCATAACACATGAATAAAACCTGTGTCGTATTGGAGCATTAGTGAGTGGAGAAAGCCAGAAGGATAGAACAGGAAGGGGAGGACAGCAATGTGAAATCAAGGCAGAGGCTAGAAGCACATCCTGGTTTAAAATACAGGGAGGACCAAGCAGGAAAATGAATGAGAACCGAAGTATACAGAGTTGAGATAAGCACCTTTTGAGGTGAAGATGATGGAGATGAGATATATGGTATATACTGCTTCTTGCACTAAACGGCCAAACTGGGCACTGCATAAAGAGGTGTAGGTTATAAAACCTAGGAACTTCAATCAATATGCTGAATTTGCTCGCAGTTCTAGACTCGTCACAATTTTGAGATCTGAATGTATGTGCTGTGATCAGTGTAAATAGGTCTCAAGTCCTAATATATTTATGTTGGGAATGCTTATTAAGTCTTAAGATGGACTCAGAATAGCATTCACTTATCTTTCTCTTCCTTTTCTCTTGACTTGAGCATTATTTTTTTTTTTAAATAGTAGTACCGAGTTGATCAGAACATACTTAGTTGCATACAACTTTGTTTTTGTCGTTTTAGAAAAAGGCTTACAAATCAAGCACCCATCAACTTGGATGTCAGTGTGATGTTGCAGAAGTAGCTGCATAACCTTGGTGATATAGCCTCTGTGAGAATTAGAACTGTCAGGATGAAAAGGACTGCTTAAATTGCTGATATTTCTTATGGGTATCAGGTTGCCATTGGATAGGGCAATTTCTACATTATTGCAACTAATTGGGAAAAAATGTCATGTTATTTTGTTATTTCTGCAGCACTCCATTTTTACAGTTCTCATTAAGAAATGATTTTCTGCTCTGAAGAGATTACAGTGTGCTTTTAGGAAGGCTACATGAAATAATGGTAACAAAGGAATAGGGAAAGCAAGGGTACAAGTTACTGTAATAAATTTATGTAATTAGTTCCATTATGACACCTTGTAATGGTTCAGCTGATTAAATGCTGTACATAAACTGGAATTCTACTCAGCTAACATCTAAAGAATCAGATGGTTTTGTACTTAGAGAAATCTAGGTCAAAATTTTCAGAAATTAGAGAGTAAATAGGTACCTGTGTTCTTATCTGATTATTAAATTGTTGTTACTGTCTCAAAATTGCTAAGCTTTCTGTAGGTCCCTTTTAAAAATCAGTGGATACTCTATAAGTACCTTCTAAAGATCAAGCTCTTTTTTTCTTGGGAACAAAAGTTTCAATGTAGAAGACTTGCTGTATGTTGATTTTTTTTTTTTTTTTGGTTAAATTTTTTTTTTTAGGGCTTGGCCTTAAACTTCAGGTGCTAAGTGCCACTTCACTTCTCAGAAGTGAGTCAATACTTGAACCAGCTCAATGTAACTCCTCCATACTCTGCTGGTTGTGCTCACTGATCCTGTGTCCTACTGTACAGCAGACTCAAGGCCAGCCTTACCTTTTTATACTTATAGAAGAATTAAAGAAGTTTTTCTTCCTTCTTTCAGGGAATCTCAAAGTACTTAACAAATGTTAAATAAACCTATCAACACATAAAATAGATAAAAAATATCAGATCAATAATTGTTAAAGCACCACCATGATTCAATTATATGGAAGATTGCCTGATAAGACTAAAACATGAAGCACAGAGCTGTGATTTTCTAATTACTGCATCACTTATCTTCCCTAATGAGATTTTTAGGAGAGAAAAACTTTACCAGAATATATGTGGGAAATTTGATTTAGGTTATCACACGATTGGCTGGATTTCAGGGCACACTGCCAGGCTGGACAGTAAATTCAATGTGGACACATGGCAGGAAGGGTTGATGTGTTCCTGTGACTAGGAGCGATGCCCAACCTTTCAGTTTCCATCTTTTTTTCTCTTTTAAAATCATAGAATCATAGAATGTTTTGGGTTGGAAGAGACCTCAAAGATCATCTAGTTCCAACCCCCCTGCTATGGCAGGGACACCTCCCACTAGATCAGGTTGCTCAAGGCTCCATCCAACCTGGATCTGAACACTTCCAGGGATGGAGCATCCACAACCTCCTTTGGAAACCTGTTCAAGTACCTCACCACCCTCACAGTAAAAAACTTCTTTATATTTAGTCTAAACCTCCCCTCCCTCAGTTTGTCCTTTTATGTAATGTTAAATAAAGTTATTCTTTCAAAAGACTTCAGTTCTCTAGCCATCTCACTCCATTCATGCCCCACAATGTCCAGACTGGTTTGCCATGAGCTTCCAAGAACTGTTTGAGGCAGCCTGTGCTTTCTGAAATCTGTATCAGGTATTTGCTTTACTTGATGGTAGGGCGCTACACCTGTAGTGCAGAATAGAACTATTAGTAAGGGAATCAACTGCATGAAAGTACCTTAGACTTGGATAGATCATTTTGCTACCCTTTTGGGAACTATTCACATTTGCTGTTCAGTGAGTCTTCTATTAAATTAAATTTGTTCCAGCATATAAAGTATGTCAGTTATTAACAGGGCTGGCATCATGCTTAAAACACAGGTTAAAACTATAGCTGTGCAAATGACAGGCATTTCACTCTAGGCCTTTTTAAAGGAGGTAAGCCAAAATTCCTGCATTTGTTTCATAAAGGAATTAAGTGATTATTCCCAGTTTGCCCTGTGAGTGTAACTGAGCTAACATAATGTGGCTGAATGTGTTGGTGGTTGATGCAGAAGGAATTACCCTGAATGGTGGTTGAACCTTTGCAAATAAATGACTATTTATGTAGCATCACAGCAACAGTTCAGGTAGGTGGCTACTCGCTGTTCGGTGGTGTTATCAGGGGAGGAGGGTCTCCAAACAGTTAGATAGCATGGTGATGGCAGAAGATTAGCTATCAAGATCAAGCTGCCAACATTTTTTTTAAACACAAAGCAGATGGAATTAGAGGGAGTCCTCCTTATGTAAAGCAGGATAATACAGATAATAGTAACCTCATGAAGTAAAAGCGAACTCTTCAAATTTCAGCTATAATTAAAAAAATTAGAGGAACACATATCAGAGTTTTGCTGTGACATTTGTTGATAGAAAAATATTCTGATCATCCTACAGGTAAATTTCTGTTAACCTACACAACCCTTGTGTAAATATATTCTTACTTAACTGTAGGTCCAAAGACATGAACAATTTTTCCATTTGACCAATAGTATATTTTATTAACGTATGGTTTCAGGCAACATACTGCCTTCTGTCATGCTTTCATTGTAAGTTTTATCCAAAGTCTTTCCAGAAAATTTGCCTTTTAAAGAATTAAATGTGACAGTGTTGCAGTTTTTTTTTTTTTTTTTTTTTTTTTTTACAGTAAAGATTCATAAACCTAGAGGGGAAGTAAGAGGAGAGAGTGAACAGTTTTAAAAGTGCCAGCTCAGTTAAATCTGTTTTCTCTTCATGATACCAAGAATTTGTCTAATACTGCTTTTCAGATTTGCATCCATAGATTAGGGCCAGTCAGATGATCTGGCTACAAAGCACTGTGTGCCAATCCAATGTAGGATACAAAATCAGGACACATTTTGAAAGTGCAGATCTTGCATTCCAGATAAGCATACACCACAGCCTGAATGTGTGTGTGGAGGGAGCACATTTAAAAGATACATGCCTACCTCAGACAGTATTTCCTCCTGTATGGCAAGGTTTATTCTTTAGCATACAACCTGATAGAGTTAGAACTGGGAAAAAAACCCAAGAATTGGTACAGAAGGTACTGTAGCCATAACTAATGCCATTTATGTGCGTCTTGGCTGTGCTGATTCTGTTTAGTATTGTGTCCACCAATGAAAAGGGAATGCAGTCCAAGGCTGCTAGTATTAGATCAGTCAATCCAGCCTAGGATTGCATCATTTATCTCCTGTATTTACTGAATTCCTATATCTGTGTGTCAGCTCTGGAACTTCCACAGGGATTCACTAGTTGATGTTGATGTTGACCATCTCTAAACAGGAAAAAGATACATACTTTTTTTTTTTTTTTTTTTTACAGAGTGACTCTTGGCAGCATGAAAGACTGTGTTTTCCTAGAAGGTGTATGATATAGTGTAAGCCAAACTGAACATCTAAAGGCTGGGAACTCAGTGGCTGCGGAAGCAGTTCTCCTAAAAACAATGGGAGAGTCTTGCTAGACAGAAAACTGAATGTGAGCCA